TTGACAATGAGACTACGTTATATAATATATCTAATATATTATATATATTATATAATTTTATATTACTTATTATTTATTTCATTTATATATTATTATTTATTATATAATATATTATATATATTATATAATTTTATTATTTATTATTTATTTCATTTATATATTATTATTTATTATATAATATATAATAATATATATAATATATAACATATCCATACTGTAACATAACCTATTAAACATAACATAATCTTATCAAATAGACTATTTTTCGTAAATTTCTTGCAAGCTTGATGTTGAGTAACTAAGCTGCTCTTGTTAATGAATAAACCGTGGATTTTCTATACAAAATAAAAATGTTCTGGATCAATTGTACGGAGATAGAAGCTAATGAAAAATATCTTTCTCCTTCGAATAGATTTCATAAATTGTAACACTTGTAAATTCTTTACTTATCTGTTTTTGTTATAATTAGTTTGCGGATTTTATGCGTTTGCGGCAACAATAAATATGTCAAGTACGCAATTATAAAAACGTTTAAAAAGTTCAAGGCTATTGTTACATTATTCTTGATTTATTATAATCGTTAGAAGGAGACCGACAAGTTCATCTAATTTGCGATTCTTGGAATTAATGTGGGCAAAGTTCATTTAATTTGTTTTTCCTGCAATTAACATAGACAATTTTTATTTTACACGAAGATCCGCGTTCTCTAGTTATAATCTTGCGTAATTTATTTAGATACTAAAACGTGATCGCAACTAAAACGAAGGAAAATGTTGAATCAATTTTCCATGTAACCGATACTTGGAAAAAACGCGGGTCGCTATTTTTCGATCGAATCGTATCGGATGTCGAAGAATATCGCAGGAGGAAAAACAATATCGAACGCACTATTCGGATGATCGTGCACAACTATGAATTATTTAATACCACGTAAGAGCAATCCGTTTTCCTGTTCTCGTGAATGTTTATTACACCGTGAAAGGCCGCGCCGTGACATTCGAGCTTCGGTGACGTATTCGTTCCGATCTCTGATTTCGTTAATCAACAAGCGTTGCGTCCGCATTATCCAACACGAGTCGAGAAAAAAAAAGAAATCTTACGGTCGCGTTGGAATCGGACGCTCCGGAGATAAACAATCTTTTTTTTTTTAAGTTGTTTATCGCTCGCGAAACGCGTTTCTTAGGTAATTTTGTAAGTGACTGAGAGAAACCGCGTGTCGTTAATAGTCGACACGTCGGGTGCCGTAAAATCGACCACAAAAATTCCCAATAATCAAAGTAATTCAATTAATGAAAATGAAACTAGAAAGTTATTATTTATCACTGTAAAATGTATTTGAACTCTTTTGCAATCTGAACGTCGTGTTACAACATAGTTGTTATATCCTACTCTGCCACTTTAGTTTTAATTAGATTTATTCTTATTATTAGCATTATCATTATTATTATTATTATTATTATTAGAATTAGTATTATTATTATTATTATTATTACTATTATTATTAGAATTAGTATTATTATTAGCATTAGCATTTTTATTATTATTATTATTATTACTGTTATTGTTGCTGCATCACTTATTATTGTTAATATTATATCGTATACCAACGTCATTCCACGATCAACACTTAGTATACCAAGGTCATTCTATTTTCTTTTTATCGGACACCCCTAACTCTTCTGCAGACCATGATTTCGCCCTTGACTCATCATGATCATTTCGCCTCGCCGCGTCATCTTCACAAAACTCTGACCTTACCATACTAATCTTCACAATTTTTAAAGCTCCACCATTTCATTGATAACTCGTAAACAAAAAGCCGCGGATTGCATTTTCGCTAAGGAGAAAGTTCCTTCGAATGACCTCAGGAACCCTTCATTCTTGTACAATGATCTTGGAACACCTTGTATTTTCTTATCAATCTTGTACTTTCTCGTTACCGAATAAATTTATTTGTTCGCTTATACCACGCAAATGATTTTATAAACATTCAATCCTTCGCGGATGAGCTTTTTTAAAAGTACCAATACTATATTCCTCGGAGAATTAGGCTATGTATGAGCAATTTAAATTAGAGGAAAATAGAACAACACACCCCGATCTTTTGTTATGTACATAATCAAATTATATGTCTCAGGAACCTCCCATTTTCGAATTGCGAGACATTTTTGGGATACCCTATATATAATGAACAGAGGAAAAAATTTATCCAAAACCTTTCCAAAGCTGGATTTCAATTTCCACTGGGCGTAAATTGCTTAATAATTCAAACTAATATTATGGTGTGCGCATATACATACAGGGTGTTCCGAAAATGTCTCGCAATGCGAAAGTAGGGGATTCCTGAGGTGATTTGAAGCAACTTTTTCCTTAGCGAAAATGCAATCCGCGGCTTCGTTTACGAGTTATTAACGAAAAACAGTGACCAATCAGAGGCGAGATCATTTGGCGCGAGACGGCCGAGCTCGCCTCTTATTGGTCGGTGTTTTTCGTTAATAACTCGTAAACGAAGCCTCGGAGAAAATTTTCGCAAAGGAAAAAGTTGCTTCAAATGACCTCAGGAACCTCCCGTTTCCGGATTGCGAGACATTTTTGGGACACCCTGTATAATAGCCTCTCTTAATTCTTGTAACCTGCGTGCCTAAGGGCCTTTCGTTTCCGCAATGTTACTAACGTTCTCGCCATTTACTACACTCTGTAATATTCTGTAATGTAGTATATTGTGAATAAATTTTATGAGAGATTTCCTTATAATAAAAAAAAAGGAGAAGAGCTGCGATATAAGTATTGCTTTCTTAATACAGACACCATATACGAGTTCCAGGAAACAGTTACTCAAACCTTCGAAGACTTTTTTTCCACCTAATCCAAGGCTAATACCTTCAATAAAAGTTTCCAAAGCTTCTAGATATCTTGCAGAGCCCTTCGTGCTCAATGATTAAACTTAATCCAAGGCCTTTCGATTTTCTAAAGCTAGCCGACGAAACAGCTCGAAGAGATCGTGCGAACCGTTGCGTGAGATCCATGCCGCTGTTCAATAATTAATATCGAATATAACAATCCCAAAAATGCATTTGCAAATCGGACTTGCAGATTGTAGTTTAACAATGCACATTAATATCCGATTTAATTTTATATAGCGCGACTGGTGAAATACTGCACAATTCGGTGCTCAGAAATTTATAATTAACATCCGAACGGAATATCTTTTCGACAAAAGTATAACCGAATATATTAGAGATTATTTCTTAACTTTATTTGCCAAGTTTTATCAACATATTTTTCGAGCTACTACTTTTAGTTATGTTAATAATGTTTGTACAGACCTTAACGAAACATGTGAAAATTTACATTAAGCTTTTGCACTCGAACGGTGGTGAATTTGAGGCAATCAAATTTACCATACTATAATTTCGAACAATTTTTACATTACTAAAGTATAATAATAAATAAATAAATAATAAATAATAATTAATAAAAAGATAAGAATAAATAAACAAAAATTGAAGTGTATCATAAACAAAAAGGGAAAAATTCGATTAATTGTCAGAAACTGGATTAAAACCGTTTATACTTAGGGTCCGGATGGACCCGAGCCAGTCGTTCGAGTGTTAATTCGTACGGTACATTTCGATAAATTACAATAATAAATAAATAAATAATAAATAATATATAATAAAAAGATAAGAATAAATAAAAATAAATATTGAAGCGTATCATAAATAAAAAGGGAACAATTCGATTAATTGTCAGAAACTGGATTAAAACTGTTTATACTTGGGGTCCAGATGGACTCGAGCCAGTCGTTCGAGTGTTAATTCGTACGGTACAAATATTCTAGTAATTTTCTTGCGTTGCTGAAACCATAAGTAAGTTCTCCGCACTCTTCTGTTTCCATCACTCAGTATATGAGCCGTTTATTTTGAAAGTGGCATAAGTCACTTTACCGTAATGAAAAGTGGTGATGTTTTAATGTTTATACGAAATTATTTATACTGAGAAAAATATCAATATCCTGAGATAACAAATACAAGTAAATCTTCTCGAAAGTTAGCATCCGTATTTTCAAACGTGTTAAAACGGAAACTCCTAAATATATCGACTTAAAAACAAAGTGACTTATGCCACTTTCAAAATAAACGGCACATATAATATCAGGAATTGTAAAAGAAAATATCAGAAACCACTTCGACTGGTTTGATAGCTCTAGCGTTAATTGAATCAAAACAGCCCATTGTCAGAGATGCATTTACGGTGTTCGAGAGACACTGAGAAGTGATCTTCCTTTGGTTCCGATCATTTTCTTCAATTTTCGATCATTTAATTCATAAATAGTCATATAGTCCTCAGATATAGTTATACGTAAGATACTGGACTCATGCATCGTCAAATTATGCTTTACGCCTCGAATCAATGAATTGCGTTTCATTTATAATTCCATAATTTAAAGAATAAGATTGTCTAACACAAATAGAGAGAAATGAAAGGTTGTGCAGTATCTAAAAACAGAAAACCGGCGAACTTTCTCGCAAAGAAACATAATTTTAGATTAATAATTCTTAGTTCGATTAAGATTGAAAGAAAATGCACGAAAGAAATTGTCGATTTAAAAAACGATACTTGGATTTTTAATTTTATCTCACGAAGCGCCTTGTGTCAAAGAACTTAAAAGAAATGAGCCGTTTATTTTGAAAGTGGCATAAGTCACTTTACCGTAATGAAAAGTGGTGATGTTTTAATGTTTATACGAAATTATTTATACTGAGAAAAATATCAATATCCTGAGATAACAAATACAAGTAAATCTTCTCGAAAGTTAGCATCCGTATTTTCAAACGTGTTAAAACGGAAACCCTTAAATATATCGACTTAAAAACAAAGTGACTTATGCCACTTTCAAAATAAACGGCTAATATTTAGAACTCGAGAAGCGTAAGAACGCTTTTGCGCCGCAGTGTACAAGCAATAAACGAACGGATAAAAGAAATGCATTCACTCACGCTGCCCGGTCCGATGCAACACGATCATCCTGCTGTGTCTGAGGGAATTTCTTGTGGGTGTGTGTCGACCGGCAATCTGCGAGGCTGCCAAATTAACGGGAACCGTGGTTGACAAGCAGTTCGCCATCGACGGTGCTCGACCGAGCTCTTTGTCCTTCTCTGGTCGATAGATCCTGCCGATGTTTCCCGTCGATACTGCACCTGTTACAGTAAACAGGTATCGTGACCGTCATTAACCAGATTCGCGTCGTAAAATCGACCATTTGAAAATGATTTACAACCACGGCCGCGGTTTTTTTAGAAAAACGTGGCCTGAGCTACTCCGGTGGTCGATCGTTTCAGGTTTGCAACGCGTGGGCGTTAGAATTCGTCTCGCAACTTTCGGAATTCGCGCGCTTTGCAATTCCAATTAGTTGTGGAATGCTTTTTGGAATGTCGCCGATTAACGCTTGAACCGTCAAGCCTTACAGGCGATTAATTTGTTATACTATACTAATATAATAATATAATATAATATAATATAAATTTTCTGGACCGATTGTTAGGAATCTTGCTTATAATTAAATAAAAATGTATTTCTTCTTTTTATAACTACCTATGTAGTAGTATTATTAGTATTAGNAGAATTCGTCTCGCAACTTTCGGAATTCGCGCGCTTTGCAATTCCAATTAGTTGTGGAATGCTTTTTGGAATGTCGCCGATTAACGCTTGAACCGTCAAGCCTTACAGGCGATTAATTTGTTATACTATACTAATATAATAATATAATATAATATAATATAAATTTTCTGGACCGATTGTTAGGAATCTTGCTTATAATTAAATAAAAATGTATTTCTTCTTTTTATAACTACCTATGTAGTAGTATTATTAGTATTAGATATTATATTATAATATATATATATATATATACTAATAATACTATATATATAATACTAATAATACTACTACATAGGTAGTTATAAAAAGAAGAAATACATTTTTATTTAATTATAAGCAAGATTCCTAACAATCGGTCCAGAAAATTTATATTATATTATATTATATTATTATATTAGTATAGTATAACAAATTAATCGCCTGTAAGGCTTGACGGTTCAAGCGTTAATCGGCGACATTCCAAAAAGCATTCCACAACTAATTGGAATTGCAAAGCGCGCGAATTCCGAAAGTTGCGAGACGAATTCTAACGCCCACGCGTTGCAAACCTGAAACGATCGACCACCGGAGTAGCTCAGGCCACGTTTTTCTAAAAAAACCGCGGCCGTGGTTGTAAATCATTTTCAAATGGTCGATTTTACGACGCGAATCTGGTTAATGACGGTCACGATACCTGTTTACTGTAACAGGTGCAGTATCGACGGGAAACATCGGCAGGATCTATCGACCAGAGAAGGACAAAGAGCTCGGTCGAGCACCGTCGATGGCGAACTGCTTGTCAACCACGGTTCCCGTTAATTTGGCAGCCTCGCAGATTGCCGGTCGACACACACCCACAAGAAATTCCCTCAGACACAGCAGGATGATCGTGTTGCATCGGACCGGGCAGCGTGAGTGAATGCATTTCTTTTATCCGTTCGTTTATTGCTTGTACACTGCGGCGCAAAAGCGTTCTTACGCTTCTCGAGTTCTAAATATTAGCCGTTTATTTTGAAAGTGGCATAAGTCACTTTGTTTTTAAGTCGATATATTTAAGGGTTTCCGTTTTAACACGTTTGAAAATACGGATGCTAACTTTCGAGAAGATTTACTTGTATTTGTTATCTCAGGATATTGATATTTTTCTCAGTATAAATAATTTCGTATAAACATTAAAACATCACCACTTTTCATTACGGTAAAGTGACTTATGCCACTTTCAAAATAAACGGCTCATTTCTTTTAAGTTCTTTGACACAAGGCGCTTCGTGAGATAAAATTAAAAATCCAAGTATCGTTTTTTAAATCGACAATTTCTTTCGTGCATTTTCTTTCAATCTTAATCGAACTAAGAATTATTAATCTAAAATTATGTTTCTTTGCGAGAAAGTTCGCCGGTTTTCTGTTTTTAGATACTGCACAACCTTTCATTTCTCTCTATTTGTGTTAGACAATCTTATTCTTTAAATTATGGAATTATAAATGAAACGCAATTCATTGATTCGAGGCGTAAAGCATAATTTGACGATGCATGAGTCCAGTATCTTACGTATAACTATATCTGAGGACTATATGACTATTTATGAATTAAATGATCGAAAATTGAAGAAAATGATCGGAACCAAAGGTAGATCACTTCTCAGTGTCTCTCGAACACCGTAAATGCATCTCTGACAATGGGCTGTTTTGATTCAATTAACGCTAGAGCTATCAAACCAGTCGAAGTGGTTTCTGATATTTTCTTTTACAATTCCTGATATTATATGTGCCGTTTATTTTGAAAGTGGCATAAGTCACTTTGTTTTTAAGTCGATATATTTAGGAGTTTCCGTTTTAACACGTTTGAAAATACGGATGCTAACTTTCGAGAAGATTTACTTGTATTTGTTATCTCAGGATATTGATATTTTTCTCAGTATAAATAATTTCGTATAAACATTAAAACATCACCACTTTTCATTACGGTAAAGTGACTTATGCCACTTTCAAAATAAACGGCTCATNTACTCACTTCGGTCGTAACTGCATGAAATCCGCAGTTTAGATACTAGCATCGCGACCCGTGTAGATTTTTGCCATTAAACAGATTCCCTAACCGACGATTTGAACCGGTGATTTCTGTCCAGAAATTGCTGAAATATTTGTCGACAGACGCGACGTTTCGATCAGCGTCGATCACCGAGAAAGAAATATACGAATCGGTCGGAACGACGCGCACGTTACGTTTACCGAAAGGTATGCTTAGAAAGCGCGCGCGCGAAATGTTCGGCTCGATTCTGTTGTGCTAAGATGTTCGCGGGAATCGGCCGGAGCGCGTACGAACAAAATGAAATTCGAGAAAGTCCGCTTGAACGCCGGCTCTGGTACAGCGACGACCGAATTTCACTCGCGACCGTTCTATTTTCAGCGGGACAACTTTCCTAGGATAGTGCAGTGCCACCTCCAATTTTGTTCCGNGTTCTATTTTCAGCGGGACAACTTTCCTAGGATAGTGCAGTGCCACCTCCAATTTTGTTCCGCTCCGACAATGATGCTCTCTTCGATCCGATCGATGTTACCGGATGATTTAAAAAAAAAAAAGAATAGAGAAGAAAGAGTATCGCCTCCAAAAAACCATCTGCTGTTAAAAGTGCGTTAAAATTGTATTACAAGCGTCAAGAAAAGATTCTAACCGAAGATGAAAATCGGAAAAATACTGTAAACTATCTGGTGTTAATAGTCTATTTACGAAATGAGCCGTTTATTTTGAAAATGGCATAAGTCACTTTTTTGTTTTAACACTTTCAAGACCGCGCTAGAAACCTCGAAAATTTTCATAAAATTAAAATATTTCATTCGATTAAAAATTATATGGCAAACTTATATATGGCTGCGATTATTTCTTCAGCATTCGTACCTCTTGCAAATCTTAATAAAATTAAGCAATCATTTTCAATTTTTCATTAATCATCCGTTCGGTCGTCAACCGACTGAATTTAAAACGGGGAGATCTCCCCGTTCGGTTGGCTAAATGTTAAATGAAAAGATACCGTTCAATTGTAATTAGTGTTACATATTAACTCGATTTTTTTGAAAAAGTCACTTATGCCACTTTCAAAATAAACGGCTCAGATATCGACGTGAAAACGACGATGATGAAGACGAATGCCATCGAATCAGGTGGTAAAAGTAAATTTACGAACGTTGATCGCGATCAACGTAAAAGTATGCGAACGCGTAAACTATTTCGCATCGGGAGTAAGTTTAGAAAACGAAGAATGAGTCGTGAACTCACCTAGAAAATAGTCTGAGGATTTAATGTATTTATAGCAGAGGCTGATGTCTGATATTCGATGTTCGTCAAATTCACTAAGGTTCATCGGTGTTCTTATTCAACGTGAAATAACTTTTAGAACTTGAATGAATTTCATGTGAATTAATCTTTAAACATTTATAACCCCGTTTTTAATTCTTTGCACTCCAAATCCAATAAAAACGCTGTGAATAATTAGACCGTTTAAATAAAAGTTGACAAAGTACTTGCCGAAAGAAAAATTGTCAATTTCGAAAGTACCATAATTGCTAGCGTTATGCCACCTGAGAGTGATCATTCGAGCGCAAACAGTTAAAATAATAATGATCATTATTCCATGACAGCTATGGCTAGATCCAATAAAAACGCTGGGAATAATTAGAACGTTTATATAAAAGTTCACAAAATACTTGTCGAAAGAAAAATTCTCAATTTCGAAAGTACCATAATTGTTAGCGTTATGCCACCTGAGAGAGATCATTCGAGCGCAAAACAGTTAAAATAATAATGATCATTGTTCCATGACAGCTATGGCTAGATCCAATAAAAACGCTGGGAATAATTAGAACGTTTATATAAAAGTTCACAAAATACTTGTCGAAAGAAAAATTCTCAATTTCGAAAGTACCATAATTGTTAGCGTTATGCCACCTGAGAGAGATCATTCGAGCGCAAACAGTTGAAATAATAATGATCATTGTTCCATGACAGCTATGGCTATAGATCAATTCAAGGCTTTATATGCGAATACTTTTCTTTTTTTACATATTCTAGTACCTAATCGTTATTTATCATCGTTTATAATTCGGATGGAGCGCCGTGTTTCTGGATAAAAATAGTTCACGTTGATATCTACTTTGTAAAGAATATGTGATTTACCTGTCACTTTGACGCTGTGGACCTTCGACACATTTCCAGCGCTAACTGCACTGCTCACTCTGTTATTATTGTTGTTGTTGTTGGCCGCAGCCATCGACGTGCCGATACTGTTGTCGCGAACCTGGTTCAAATTGTCGGCGCTTAAAGCGGAAGTCACGCAAGGTGCCACCATCGGCACGTCCTGCAGTAGAAAAAAAATGCATCGATCACTTTAAATGGATCACGGTCTAGCGATTACCGGTCTTAAAATAGCGATTCATTCATCTATCGCTATCTGCTCTATGTGTCGAACTCGTGCTCCCGAAAATTCACTCGAAATTAATCAAAGAAACAACGCGATCGTCAATTTTTTTTGCGAATCTGATTCCAAAATCGTCAAATTATTACAACATGTCGCAGTGAATGAAGATGAATCCATCAAATTTATTTCTCGCATTACGTTACGTTACATGACAACGTAGAGTACGCTTTCCTACGCGCATGTTTTGTGAAATGCCCACCGAACACGTGAACGCGGTAACGCTTATTATGCTCATTGGCGATGTTACAGTTTATAAAACAACGAGCGTCGTCGTGGCTTCCATGATATCGGCAGAACTTCATTTACATAAAACATACTAGGTTGCGTAGCAGAAATGACGAAACTATAAAAGTGCGCGTGAGAGCATTCACTTTGAAAATAATTATTACAAATGAGAAGTTGAAGAAAATATTATTACTTCATTACACGATATTAAAATAGCCTTCGATAACTTTGAAATATTTAAACAAGAAATATTTAACAAGTTTGTCGAACACAAAATAATCATATTTCCGTTAACATTGAACTTTTATCACGACGAAGCAAAAAATAACGAAATGTGCTTATGACAATGAGTGCGGATGTGTTGAGCTCGTCGGTTGAATATATTTATTTATATATTTATATATTATATATTTATATTATATATTTATATATTATATATTTATATATTATATTTATATATTATATATTTATATTATATATTTATATATTATATATTTATATTATATGTATATTTATATTATATATTTAATTATATATTTATTTATATAGTATATTTATTTTTAATGTAATTCAATACTAATTAAATTTATCGTAATATATTCGAACAATATATTTATTAGAATGTTCACAGTGCAAAAGAGTTAAAATACCCTTCACCATGATTAACTTTGCGTATCATTAATCAAATTACTTAGAATCGACACTTTTCCTATCGCAATGCACCATCTGACGCACTAATTAGTAAACCAAACACTCGAGTTACATCGACAAATTAAAAACAATATCCCGAATTTCTGTTGCGTGACTGTACGTACGTATAAAAGTAATCGTGGTACAAATAATAATAATAATAAAAGTACGTACAAATAAGTAATCGTACAGAAACTGGAGCAACAATGTTGAAACGAAACGTCCGAGTAAATTCAATGTACCTCCAAAACGATGCTTTCAGCACGCCGCTCGATACGTGATCGTTTCTTGAGGCCGACTTGTTGACATGACACGAACGTAAACAGTAACACGTGGCACAGACCGAGTCGCTCACCTTAAAATTGTCATAAAAGCTAACAGGACGGCTCCTTGGCGCGTACTGAATCTCCTCGTCCGGTTGCATCGTGCTACCACCGTATATCGTCGTGCCTAAGGGCTGCGCGCGCAACTCGCCCGGCATCCTGCGCTTCTTCCTTCTTCCACTTCCGGCGCGGCGGTTGCGGTGTCACCAGGTGAACCGCGCTCCAATTAATTCCGTGTTCACCTCAAGGCCGTCATTCTCTCTGCCGACATCGTATTTTTTATCACTTTCAACCGAACTTTCCTAAACATAAGAAACAAATTTCAACACGTTTCGAGAGATCGTGATAGCACAGTGAATCCCCCCCTCCCCCCTCCCTAATTTTCCTTCAGTTTGTGAACAGGAATGGACAATTTGGGAAGAGAAGATACGATTAATCGAGCCTCGCACCTCGGTTTTATTATAATCGTTGACAATGAAAAGTATAAAAATGAGCTACAAGCCTCGAATAATCGTTCTCCTCTTCCTATATTGTCCATTTTTGTGTACACAGTAATTTCTCCCTAACTCGCGCACAGTAATGGAAATTTTGGGAAGACAAGATACGATTATTCGAGCCTCGCACCTCGTTTTAATTATGATCGTTGGCAATCGGAAACTATAAAAATGAGCTACAAGCCTCGAATAATCGTTCTCCTCTTCCCATATTGTCTATTTTTGTGTATACAGTAATTTCTCCCCTCGCGCTCAGATTGCGCACGAAAATGGACAATTTGGGAAGAGGAGATACGATTATTCGAGCCTCGTACCTCGTTTTAATTATAATCGTTGACAATCAGAAAGTATAAAAATGAGCTACAAGCCTGGAATAATCGTTCTCCTCTTCCCATATTGTCCATTTTTGTGTATACAGTAATTTCTCCCTAACTCGCGCTCAGATTGCGCACAAAAATGGAAAATTTGGGAAGAGAAAATTTGCTCGAATAATCGTATCTTATCTATATATAAGATACGATTATTCGAGCCTCGCACCTCGTTTTGATTATAATCGTTGACAATCGGAAACTTTAAAAATGAGCTACCAGCCTCGAATAATCGTATCTCCTCTTCTCAAATTGTACATTTTTGTTTACAAGCTGAAGAAAAATTAGGGAGAATTTATTGCACACTGTAGTAACGTGAAAATGGACACGAAAAATTGATAGTTATTATAGACAGAGTCATAGATAATGTCAGTTTCTGGGAATAAAATCTAGCCACGCATTTATCATCCTAATGACTCATGGTCCGGTAGTGCTACGTGGTATATTGTGGATTTTTATTCGATCACTTTATAGAATGAAGAGCCACGTTGGAGTAAAGCTGACTGTGTGGGGGATGAATCATTTAATTGTTGGACAATGCTTCAGCCATTCTGGCTTTTCACTTTAACGTTTTGGTCATGTACACATCGTGAACAAAAGATCATTCATTTTCCTCATTACTTAATACTGCGATAAATAAACTATTTCTTTCAGATGAATATTTTCTCTTCTTCAAGAAGTTCTCGTCGTCGCAGAGCATTAAATGAATTACAATCGCATTATCAATGATGCGACATTTTAAAAAAGTACATCTTGCAACACGAACAAAACAGTAACTCGTTGAAAAAAAAACAAATTCATTCGTTAATAAATTCTATTAAAATGTTTTCATATTAGCGCAGTTGCTAATGATCGTTGTAACTTTGAAAACTTTATGAATCGAGGACAACGAAATGTACGAAAATTAAAATATAATAAAATAAAAGCTGAAGTCGAAGGGAAATTTTTTGAATATATTCGCGATACTATCTTACCAAAATCTGCACGCTCATTTAAACTAAGATAATCCAGCTAGTTATTATCGCAACTTCTTTAGCACAAGTAGAGTACGGATTTCAATGTAAAGTGTAAAAATTGTCTGCACGGATTGTACGAAACAAGTGTTAAATGAAGATGTATTTCCCCTTCTAATATTCTAAACGCGTTAAAAACAGCGTGACAAGATTCTTATAAATTCTTCCAGTCTCTTCACAAAGCTTCGCAAATGCATAAGCGTAATATAAAATAATAAATTAAAACAATAAATTAAAATAACAAACGTAAATGCGTAAGCGTTCCGCGCGTAGAAGAAATAACATCAAAAAATGATTACACGAAGCTACGAACGAACCTAATCAACAACCGTCTCAAAGTTTCAGATTCGAGCCTTGAACATTTCAAAATATGGAACACCCTGTAGATAATTACGCCGGTACTCCCGCATTATATTTACCTGTGTTCCCGCGTCAGCTCGTATCAAGATCCAAGCGAGAGAAACCACGCGAGATCACCGTGGTTCGACCGCAAATCTTCAACTTCCCGGAAGTACACCTGCGCGCTGTGACTCACTATGATCTCTCTTCGAAACTACGGTCCCCGGGTGCGCGTGACTTCGCAGTCGCGAAGGGAAATTTCTCTTAATCTCGAACGACGCGTCGTAAGTCACGCGTCAGGCTCTCCGATGACCCAGGAGCAGAGAAACACACCGGGAGGATCCCGCCGGGTAATCGGCGGCGACCGATTTCTCCGATGCGCGGTACACGTGGCCCGGTCACGTGCGCCCGTCATCCGTCACCCCGTAAACCTCTGAAAAATAGAGCGGCATCGTCAGCATGGGAATATGTTGCACCGAGTTCGCTTCCCGATCGGGCCGATTTGTATCAATTACCCGTCGAGCTGCATCGACGCATCGAACGGTTCGTGCATCATTCAGGCCGCTTCGGGAATTCCGCGGTTCGGGAGGGAGGAGGGGGGGGCGGGGCTTTCCAGTTAATTTGGAACCGTTATGGCGTCGATAGGGAAATGCGTCGGGCTTCGATGCTTTCGCGAGATGCGGTGAGACATACAGGGTGTCCCTGAATTATTAATTATTAAATTATTCGAAGTAACTTTTTTCTTAGTGAAAATGCATTTCACGGTTTTGTTTATCAGTTATTAGCGAATAACAGTGACCGATGAGAGACGAGATTAGTTAGCGCCATGCGGCCGAGCCAATCGGCTGAACTGGGCTTCGAACAGGCTCGACCGCCTGGCGCTAACTGATCTCGCCTCTCATTGGTCACTGATTTTCTTTAATAACTCGTGAATGAAGCCGCGGATTGCATTTTTGCAAAGGAAAAAGTTACTTCAAATGACGTCAGGAACTCCTCATTTTCCGCTTGTACAATAATTTTGGGACACCCTGTATTCGAACGAACCGAGCTTTGCGCGGTTGTAGCTAGATTAGGAATTTTTTTACAATTTCTTCTTCCTCTAGCTTGTTTTTTTTGG